AACACTCCAAAGAGAAAGGAAAAATTTAAATCGCATCATATGACCCCTTTAAATAATAAAAAAATACAATACAGTTTATAATCACATTTTGTGAAAAACTATTGTTTTAAAAATTTGTTGTTAAATACAGCTTGTATTTAACTCCTGTTTACTTGTTTTGTAATCTGTGAGAAGTGTTAATGTTGAAAGTTTACCGTTTTTACCTGATTTTATTCATAGTATGGTTTTTTTGAAGCGAAACATAACAATCACGCCCAGAATTTAATCGGGTTAATGAAGAAGCAGTTTATTTAAATAAGCCAAACTCTGAAACCTGTGCGGTCAGAGTTACTTCAGGCACAATCTAATGCTATTGTCATTGCAGTGCAGTGTTTCTAATCGCGTCTTGTATCATGATGTTTAGTGTTTCATAAAATAGTCAGCAGTACCCAGTCCCAGTCTCTAGAAGGACACTCAGCTGCTGTATAGGTGTACAAATGACGAGGGCCGCTGGAAGTGATTTATTGATTCCTCCCCTCCTTCCTCATGTCCCTGCAAAGACAAATTAATGTAAACCCATCCAGGCATAGATCAGGCTGCCGTAATTAAACATGCGGCTCCAGTCAGTTCATGCAGCCAGTAGCATGTCAATTATTCATGCTCGTTCATTGGGTTTTAATTGGTGTGGGACTCCGTGTAGGGTCATTATTTCTGACGAAACGTCAGCTGATGTCGGCAAGGTACATGATGTTGTCCTTTCCCAGAGATGCATGCGGTGAAATACATGCATCACTGTACCTCTTGAAAACCATTGGTTTCTATTTCTCAGGGGTCCCTCAGGAAATTAGCTGCACAGTTCCGGCTCATTTTCTGTTTTAAACCACTGATACACACTAAAAGGACTTCGGGGCGTCAGTAAATGTCAGAGGAAATGTCTCAGTGTTTATTTCAATCACCTTTCATATGATTACTTACTGAGCAAATCTAAAAGAGACACAGTGTATCTCTGGGGGCAGCAAGTATGTGTTTTGTAGGGTCTGGTGTTTTCATGCTTGCATGCATCGAGCTGCAGAGATTGTGGCTGATGTGGTGAGAATAAACTGTGTTTGTTCTCTTCCTCCTTTTGTTCTTCCTGTGTCTGTACGCATGAAGGCACAGTATGTATGTACACTACTGTTCAAAAGCTTGGGGCTAGTAGATTTTTCATTTATTTTTTAAAGAAATTAATATTTTTAGTCAGCAAAGATGTGTTAAATTGTAAGAAAGAAAATATTTGTATTAATCTAAGAATTTAAAACTTTCTATTTATCAAAGAATCTTGAAAAAAAAGTGTTTAATGCTTTTCAAGTAACGTGAGTTAAGTAATTAGATTAATTACTTTTTTCAAGTAACTAGTAAAGTTTACAAGAAAATGTGTGAGTTCATTTTTCAAATTAGTTAATTTGTTAAATAATACAAATTTTGGTGAAAAAAAAGAAACACCTGAAAAAAAATGTTTGATGCTTTTCACTAAAATATTGTGCAGCACAACTGTTTTCAACATTGATAATAATAAGAAATGTTTCTTGATCAGAAAATCAGTATATTAGAATGATTTCTGAAGATCATGTGACACTTAAGACTGGAGTAATGATGCTGAAAATTCAGCTGCGCATCACAGAAATAAATAAAATTTTAACATATATTCACATAGAAAACAGTTATTTCATATTATTTTAAAATATTACTTTTTATGATATTTTTCAGGATCAAATAAATATAGCCTTGGTGAACATAAAATACTTTCAAAAAAATAAAAAAATCTTACCAAAATAAATTACATTTTAACATATATTCACATAGAAAAGTTATTTAATATTATTTTAAAATATTACTTTTTATGATATTTTTCAGTATCAAATAAATATAGCCTTGGTGAACATAAAAGACTTTCACATTTTTTTTAAAAATCTTACCAACCTCAAGCTTTTTAACTGTAGTGTAGATGTGAATGCGTTTCAGTTACATATGGGTTTGAAAATTTGGTAACACTTTAGATTAGGGAACACTATTCACCATTAACTAGTTGCTAGTTAACTATATTGGCTGTTTATTAGTACTTATAAAGGACATATCGAAGGCCTTATTCTGCGTGAGCATATTCTAGATCCTTTAATCCTTCACAATAACATAATTACCACAACAACTAGCTATACTTACTACCAATAACCAGCAAATAAGCAGTTTATTGATGGAAAACTTAATAGTAAATATGTGTGCCCAAATCTAAAGTGTTACCAATTTTTTTATACCTTCATATTTTCAAGAACAGTTTAAACCTGGTGACAAAAATGCCAAATTATTTAATATTTTAAGAGACTTATTTTGTGCATGTTTCTGCATGTTAGTTTGACCACATGACATTGAAAAAGGTTTGATGCTTTTCACAAAAATATGAAGCAACACAATTGTTTTCAACACTGCTAATAATCAGAAATGTTTCTTGAGCAGCAAATCAGCATATTAGAATGATTTCTGAAGATCATGTGACACTGAAGACTGGAGTAATGATGCTGAAATTCAGCTGCGCATCACAGGAATAAATTACATTTTAACATATATTCACATAGAAAAGTTATTTAATATTATTTTAAAATATTACTTTTTATGATATTTTTCAGTATCAAATAAATATAGCCTTGATGAACATAAAAGACTTTCAAAAAACTGTAAAAATCTTACCGACCTCAAACTTTTTAACTGTAGTGTAGATGTGAATGTGCTTAAGT